GGCTTAGCATAATGCTGGGCTTGCAATAGGTCCTTAATGGCTGTTTGAATGAATCCATGAACTCTGGAGTTTTCTTTTCATTAGCATATATTCAGATAACCCACAGGTAGCTATGGGAAGGTGTCTATTGTAAACTAAATGACGAAATAAAGTAGTTATGTTTATTGCTAAGTTTTTCTGCACCCTAAAAACACATGAAAAATTCCAGGATAAAATTCAAAGGTTCATATTTGCATGAATTCTCCATTTTTTACAGGAATATATTCATTTTCACAATCTCCCTGAAGTGTAAAATAGCCTCCCCAAATAATGTCAGGAAATGGTGAGCCTTTGTGGTTACAAACTATTCCCATTGAAAAGCCTGCTGGAGTTCTCCTTCTGCCCTTAGTTGGTGGCTCCAACGTCAATAGCAGGAAGACCAAACAAGGACAACCCTCCACTTGGCATCGCCCCAATTCAGCTCAAGGGTTACCCAAGTACCGGTATGGTGGTATATCCAGGAGTCCAGTGTCCAAATCCTTCCCAACAAGTCACCTTTCCTCTTAAAGGGATCCCAAAACACAAAGAAAATCAGAGTTTTTTTGCTTTATTAATAGCCACCTACTGTCATCCCTATGCAGGAATCTGGTGCAAGACGGGGTGGAACACAAAGCTTGGCTTGTACCTAGAAACAGGAGTGGGGATCCTACTCACCCCTCGCCCCTCACTCTCCCAAATCTACAGCTTAGGACCAGCATTCTCTTGCCGCCTCATATGGCACGCTCATCCTGAGAGAGGATGAAGAGGCGGGGAACTGAGGCTCCAACGTAACCACCCAGTTGTAGGTTCAGGAAAGATGGAAAAGAGGGGGAGGGCAGGCGTGTGCATGAGCGAGTGCCTTGGTCTGAGGCAGGAAGCAGAATGCCACACGTGGGTGCTCGGCTTTAAGACATGGTGGCCCTACCCACTCGCACAATATGGCTCAGTGTCTTAGGTTCAAAAAATGTTCTATCAGTCGCGTTGCCAACTACCCCCCACCCTTAGGAGGGAGGCAGAAGGGTGAACGAAGGGAGAATAGCCCTGCAATCCTGATGTAAAGGAGCTCACTGTGCAAATCGGATTATGGTTCCACCTGTGAGATGACAGCGGAAGCTTCTCGCTCATTGAGGTAAAGCTGTTCTCACGGAAGTTACATTTGCGCTTCCCTCCGAAAGGCCAAGTTTCCTCCCAGCCCAGTCTCCTCCCAGCCCGGCGAAACACAGAGTTTCTCCAGTAATGCCAGGCTTTTAGGGTTTTAGTAGGTCTGTCTGCTCCTCAGCAAACTCTTTGACTAGAAGACCTCTTAAATAGGCCAACAATGGTGATAAAAGATAATCTGACTTTGGGTGGTGATAAAAGATAATCTGACTTTGGGTGGTGGCATACAATGCAGTATATAGATCATGTACCATAGAAATGTACGCTTGAAACCTATAGGCTCTTATTAAGCAATGTCACCTCAATAAATTTAATTAAAAATGAAAATGTCAATGTGAAAAAAACATAAAGAAGTTAAGCTGTCAGCCTGATCTTTTCAGTCCAGCATTTACTTGGTCTAAATCAAAGAGGTGGACCTTTGCATGCCAGTTTCACACTGTCCATTGCACTGTCGTGGTGTCTATTGGCATGGTAACACAGTTCAGAGCTCCTGCGAGACCGGACTGCAGATCGCTGGGAAAGCTTTTGTAAGTGACCCGTAGCCTTTCTCTGCCAGGGGAACTGCTGGGCACAGCACAGGGGAACACACTCACTCCCAAGTGGCCACTACCTTAAAAGTTGGGGAGAATGAATCTTAAACACTGCCTTTGTCTTAAGATTCTCTCTCTCTTTTTTTAAAGTAGGGAATCTACAATACAAATAAGTATTTTATTTTTTAAATTTATTCATTAATTTTTTATAGAGAGGGAAAAAAGGGAGAGAGGGAGAGAAAGAAACATCAATGTGTAAGAGAAACATCAACTGGCTGCCTCTTGCACGCCAACTGGGAACCTGGCCCACAACCCAGGCATGTGCCCTGACTAGGAATCGAACCAGTGACCTTTCAGTGCATAGGCCAACACTCAATCCACTGAGCCACACCAGCCAGGGCAAGACCCTCTTTTTGATTCTCACTCTTACCTTTTAGTTTCCTTGCTTCTCATTTCTAGGTCACTCTCCTTCCCCTTAATGTCAGAACCTTCCTGAGGCCCATGATAGATTCTCCCCATACATCAGTGGTTCTCAAACTATGGTCTCTGGACCAGTAGCTTCAGCATCTTTTGACAACTGGTTAGAAATAAAATTCAAAGACATAAGCAAAAGAAAAGAAGAGAAGAGAAGAGAAAAAGAAAAAGAAAAAGGAAAAATAACTAGAAAAAATAAATGTAACGCACACCTTCATACCCTGCACCAAACCTACTGAATCAGAAACTCCAAGAGTGGGGTCTCGACCCCAAATTTAACATGCCCTGCAGACGATTCTGATGTATGCTCAAGTTCGAGAACCCCTCTGTCACGTTTCATTTCATTCAATGACTACTGAGAGGTCAAACAATCCTGAAAGATAAGTATCATCCTTGGTTTGCCAATGGGAAAGCTGAGATTACAAAATGAAAAAGTAACTAAACAATATCACCTGCTAGGAAGTGGGGCCTGGCCCCCAGCCCCGCTCCTACCCCAGCTTCACCCCAATCCTGTGGCCTTCTGGCTCTTCCTGAAAAGCAAGAAAGTCAGAACCTGACCCAGGGACTTAATGCAAAGTGGTCCCTCTATTGCAGTGGTTTAAAGCCCAGGGTGCTTATTAGAGTCTCCTTGGAAGCTTGAACATTAAAAAACAAGAACAACCATAACAGCAAAACAATTTATTTTAAAGCATTTCTAACTAGAGATTAGAAGGAACTCTCTTCCAGGAGGAAGGTCAAAGATAGCAGTCAACCCAGAAAGCAAATGAGGCTTTAGCAGAGTGGGTCAGGCAGCAAGAAATGCTGGATAAAGCTAGAGGCAAGTAAGGGTTCTAGGAAAGAGCTTCTACCCGACTGAATAGGGCCTCCACATTTCAATACAGGTGGTGGTCAAATGGCCATAGGGCAATGGCCCCTCATCCGGCTGCTGAGGCTCAGCGGCACATCTCTGGGAATCTCACGGCCCTCCAAACTTACGAAGGCTCTCTCTACTTTACATCAATGTACCATGACTGTCCTCATCCCTAGAATAAGGTGAAATAAGACATATAGTATGAATAGTAGGGATAGGAAGGGTTCTGAATACCACTCAAGCCGTCCCCACAGGAGGGAAGTGGTTCCTGCTACATAACACTACACAGTGGAAACACAAAGCCAGTCACTCTGTCTCAGCTCACAGGCAGTGGATCCTGTGGGATAAAAGGCACAAAAGCAAACACACACACACACACACACACACACACACACACACACACAATAAAACAACCCAAGCCCATGGGATGGGGGCGAGGGCCAGTTATGGGTTGTCTGGAGGACAGAAGCCATATGGACACATCATAGGAGATAAAGCTGGAAATGTGAGTTAAGACGAAACTAGTTCAGGTTAGCCTGCCTGCAGCATTTGCCTTCTTTCAGAGAGTCAAAAGAGCCTATTTATGGCACAGGTCTAGAGCAAGACAGCTGAATTCTGATCCCAGTTCAAATCTTGAAGAATCAACTTAAACTTTCCACAGATTCACTTCCCTAGGGGGAAAAAATGACAATCATAGCACCTGACATTGGGGTTGATGTGAGGATTGAGTAAGTCAGTATCTGCGAAGACTTAAACAGTACTTGGAACATAAGAAAGCATGAAATGTATTAGCTATTACAACAGTTATTATTAATTCTGCAGCCAAAAATGCCACGGAAATGGGGGTGATAAGACCATAGCCCCAGGTGCTTGATCGGGCTGTGATGTGTAGGTTGGAAGGCTGGGAAACTAGATAAGAGATCACTGCAATTCTAGGTGAGAGGTGCATCCAAAGTGGCAAACGTATAAGAAAGTAAGGGGAAGGGAAACGGGCCATATGTCAGATACGTCTGAGCAATTGAGCTGACAAAAGCTGGCAAATGCCTGGATGTGGGTGGTAAAGAAAGTGGAATAATCAGAGAGAAGATAAATGGATTTTGTCTGAAAAACATGTCCTCTTCTGCACCAAGTTAACTGTTGAAATTACACTAGGAAATTAATTGTCTGCTCTACACTGTGAACTTCTCGTTCACCTTGCTATTTGCCCAGTTACAGAAAGGCATCCAAAGCTCCTCCCTGTTCTAACACTATAATACTCTGGTCCTCTGCCAAGAAACCTCGATTTCACTTACCTTGCCTACGGGTGACTTTTACCCTATTGCTCTGAACTGCTATCATACAGAGCAACAAATGACAGGGCTCAGGTGCAATATGATCCTTCCACCTAGATGCCTACCTGGTGCCAAACCCCTGCAGGAACCCTGGAGACTTGCTTAATAACGAACTCTATTCCTCTTACGCTTTCAGTTCATCTTTTCCTCTGAAGCTTTAAAGTTATTAAGTGCAACTTACAAGAAAAGGGCAACAGCTGAAAGAAGAAAGTCACTAAAATGGCCAGAGAGGATAGCAGGTCCCTTGTCAGCGACACTCCTCTCCACACACATTAGCCACCCTGTACATTCAGTCCCTGAAAAGTCTCTTTTCCACCTATTCAAATGCAAGGATACTTCCTTTATACACACACCATTGGCACTTAGCCCGGAGGTGCATGGGGTTAAGAATCAGCAGACCCACGTTTTAACTCTACAGTTAACTTGAAACAGACCACACCCCCATGAGACCTCAGACCTAAGGCTGAATTCTAATGACCTCCCAGCTCCAGTTCCCACCACAAGGACAAAGTCAGCTAGAGGCACCGCCCCTGCGCTCGCCCCTCCCAGCGCTAGAATACGCGCCTGGGTCCCGAGGCTTCTGCCCCTGGGTCCCCGCAGGGAGGTTGGCCCGGAACGGTCCAGCAGGCCAGCCGCTACCTGGTCCAGCAGGCGGTAGATGCTGATACCCGAGGTCTCTACTAACAGCTGCCAGTCGGCCCCGGCCAGCGCGGGCTGCTGGAGTTCGGCACAGGCCTCCCGGAACTGCTCCTGGGAGAAGCCACCGGCAGTAGCAGGGTCCATCCTTCCGCAGCCACCGTTCCTCCGCGTGCAGGGAGGCCGTAGAAAGGTTTGTTGTAGGTTTAGGGGCGGAGCGAAAGGGTGACCTAGCGTGATTGGCAGGGAACAGAGAAGTGATAGAGGGGAAGGCGGGACTTAGTGGGAAGGAGGAGTTTAGGTGGGGCGGGGCTAGGAGGGGGTGGGCCTAGATAAGTGGGCGGGGCTGAGCAAGAGATGAAGGAGGCTGTGAAAAAGGTAAAACGAGAAAAATTGGATTTGAGCTAGAGCAAAATGGAGGGGCTAGGGAAGCGGGGAGACTTATTTATAGACGGAAGGCAGAAAGAAGACACTAATGTCATCTTCAGAATATCCCCTCAGTAGTCCATCGGGTACCCGGCCCCACCCCATAGCCTCCAAAACTGCTTGGGTAGCTCCTTTACCTTCTCTGAAGAAGAGAGGGAAAGTCTCTGAGCCGTTTGGTAGGCGTGGAAGGTGATATGGACAACGTAGAAACGTTTGACAATCTCAGGAGTCAAATGCTAGAACTAAATATTTCCACATAATGTCTATTTTTTCTGTTATGCATTTTAAAACATTATTTTGAGAAAAGGTCCATGGGATTCACCAGAAGGCCAAAGGGTTTCATTGCACAAAAGGGATTGCGAAACCTCATCTCTATTGGATCTACAGGCTGATTTGCCAGCCTGCAGGGTGAAAGATAATCTAAAAGTTACTATTGTATCCACCAAGGATTTCTGCACTTTGCATAATTTAGACCTTTTGCAATTCAAAGACCTTTTTATTCACTCAGGTCCCTTAGGTATTACTATATTTCTTACCACCAGACTGTACTTGGCTGTGAATAAAATAGGTAGTTTAAACATCAAAACAATATAACACCACATGAGTGCCAATGAACTCTGGAAACCCGAGTTTCCTAATCTGAAAACTAGGGTAAGAATTGTGCAACCACTTAGAACAGAGGAGGTAACTACATAAAATAAACATAAAGCATGTACGCACAATGCCTATCCAAGTAAATGTTCAATAAAAATCCCTACTTGTTTTACACGACTGAATTGGAATACTTCTCCTTCTGTACTTGAACGAAAGCCTGGAAGTTGACGGCAAACTCTACAAGACATCAATTTCCAAAAAGAGATATAAAGTCAGGTTTGGCAGCATAAATAAGTTACTTCTTTATTCAATACAATGCTGGTTCTGTTTTGTTTTGTGAGGATGAGAGGAGGGATGTGGTTTTTTCTTAGGCTAAATGCCCAAGAGGCTAGAGACATCCTTTCCTACTGTTTTTTAAATAATGCCTTTAAGTTCTCTCTTCTTTATAAAAACTATATTTCATTTAAACTAAAAATCAATTGCTTTAAAAAAGTAATTTTATCAAAATCATTGGTATACAGTATTTTCCGATATCTTCAAGGAATCCCATTCTAAAGGTGTTCTTTGCTGAAACAGCTTTTATCACTGTTTAGCAATAGATTAATGAAGACAGGCATGATAATCTAAATGGCAGTATGAAAGCTACAAGATATGAGGCAGGGAATTTCAATTGCATTCAATTGCCTTCTACTAAATTCAGAAGGCAAATACCTATATATTTGGGTCTATTGAAATTTACACTTGTGTTTATTTTATTACAGTTGATGAAGGAAAGAATCATATTAGGAAATAGTTTTACTCTGTGCAAAGGTCTAGAAAAGATTTGGAAAGGGATCTAGAGAAGTCTGTTCTCCTTTTGAACTTGCCTATTATATAATAGGCCAGCCTGTTTGCTTTGTGAAAAACACTCTCTAGAGGAATTTGCAGTATCGTAACAGCTGAAGCTGAAGCTCTTGGCCTCCAACACAGAAATGCTAGATAAACCATACCAAAAAATAGTATTTACTATATAGTTTATCTGAACATAAAGAACGTGTAGTCTGATAATCACTCCAGATTTCTGCAATTTACATTCAAATACACAGTTTAGTAAAAAAAAAAGTGTAATAGGTAGAAAGAGGATCAAAAGTGACAAAATGAAAACAACTAATGAATTTAGGTAAAGGGTAGGTATGTTTTTATTGCTTTATTCCATCAACTTTTCTGCATATTTGAAATCATTCAAAGTAAAATCTTCAAGAAAAGCCAGTTATATGTGTTTATAGGAGACAAAACAAAAATATATTACTCAGAAAATATAGAGGTCAATATATGAAAAATATACACCAGTAAACACTAAACAAAAGAAAATTGGTATGGCTCTAAAAATATTAGACAAAGTAGACTTTCAGGCAAGAAAAACATTAATGGAAAGAAGTTCATAAGTTAATAATAAAGGATACAACCTTTCAAGAATTCTGAATCCTTAAATTTATACTTACTTCACAACATAATCTCAAATACATAAGGCAAAAATTATCATCAGTACAAAGAGAAATCAGCAAATTCACAATTACAGTAGAACATTTTAAGGCTCTTTTATAGGATATGAACTAATCAAGCTGACAAAAAAATGGTAAAGATATAAAAGATGAACATAATTTATAAGAACTCACATGAGTTCATATAATTCATATACTTGACCTAAAGAGCATATAGAGAACTATGTACTCAATAAATAAAATACAGATATTATTTACAAACTACCATAAAGCACTCATTAGAATTGATTATCCTGTAAGTCACAATGAATGCTTTTAGCAAACACAAAAGAATCTGTATTATTCTCCGATAACAAGTCAAAAACACAAAAGAAAGAAAAAAGGATACAAAAATAGCCAACCCTGCACCCAATATATTTAAAAACTAAAAAACATAACAACGCAAATACATACATACTTCCTCCAAGAACCTAACCAGCAATTAATTCCCTGCATCAAATTCCTTTTGCTTAAAATACCTAGAGAGTTCTTGTTTTCTGCCCTCAGTCCTGACTGATGCCATATTTGTGGATTATGACACTTAATATTTTAAAGATGACCATTCCTATCAATTCAAACAATAAATCCAATGAAATTTAAATAGAAGTCCTTCAGACTGTTCAAGGAACTTTGCACACCAATTCTAAAACTTATAGGAAAGGTGTAGGGATCAAACAATTTGAAAAAGTAGGCTATCAATTTTTAAAAGTAGAGGAAAAAAAGGAAAGGAAGCCTGCCCTATCAAATATTAGGGTTTATAATAAAGAAAATAGTGTGGTATTGACCTAGGCCTAAGAAAAAGTAATAAACAATGAAATAGCTTTCCATCTAGAAACAAATCCACATGAACATTGAAATAGGATGTAAGAAAAATGGACAATTTATAAAATGGTATTGGACAACTGACTATCCTTATGCAAAAACGAGGTTCCTAGATCATGTTGTACAAAAATATAAATTCCAGATATATAAGAGAACTAATTGTATGAGGGAAAATGTTGATAACTCCTGTGTATATCAGAAAGCAAAAACTTCTATTTAACTACTCAGTGTGAATAAATTAAAACCCAACATGCAATTGGCCCTGGTGGGTAGTTCAGTTGGTTAGAGTGTCATCCCAATACGCCAAGGTACTGGGTTTGATCCCAGGTCAAGGCACATATGAGAATCAAACAAGGGATGCATAAATAAGGGGAACAAGAAATCAATGTTTCTTTCTCTCTCTCTCTCTCTCGCTCTCGCTCTCGCTCTTCCCCTCTCTCTCTAAAATCAATCAATAAAAAAAATTTCAAAACCCCAACCTACAGATTAGTAGAAAACATAGCCAACAAAGGGCTGATACTGACAATATACACAGAACTCCTAGAAACCAACAAGAAAAACCCCAATAATGCAATTGAATATATGAGCAGTGAAAAAAAATCAAATGGTACATGAATACATGGAAAGTTGTTCAACCTCCATAATAAATGGGGAAATGTGAAATAAATGATATCATTTTATGTACATAAAATTGGCAAAAGCTTAAAAATGGGTGTTGGCAAACAGATAGAGCAATAAAAGCTCTGACATAAAATGTTCTGGTTAAAGTGTAAGCAACAGTTTGAAAAAGGATTGGAAATGACCTATTAAGTTCGAGGATACACATCCTGTCTGCCCCAGTAATTCCACTTCTATGAGTATACCCCCCAAAACTGCCCACATTGCATAAGGCTGCACATGGCTTTAGTGGCAAAATGTTGGAAACAGCATAAATACTCACCAGCCACATAATAAACAAATGAATTGTGGTATATTCATTTCATAGCTTTTGAAATTTAAAAAAATCTACATGTATATCATGGGTAGATCTTGAAAACATTGTTAGAGAAAGCAAGGTGCAGAAGTCTGCATACAAATATGGTATTTAGGGACTATACATATGCCCTGACAACTAAAAATATGAATGGGAAGGATTCATGTTAATTTCAGCAGTAGCTGTAATATTTTATTTCTTTAAAACATATGAAGCAAATAAGGCACAATATTAATGTGTATGCTGGGCGGTGGCTTCATGTATATTTGTAATTTAAACAAAATAATTCTAATAAAGGTATAATACTATAATTGCCATTAATTATAGCAGAAGTAAAAGGAAAACACCACTCTTGGATACTATGAAAAATGAATGAATGAATGAATGAATGCTCACAAATGCCCCACTTTGCACAAAGAACACACATTGATAAACTGTTGCAACTGAGAGATTGATCAGTGTTGTTGCTGTTGTTGTTTTAGTTTGGGTATTAGCATATCTGTTCTTACTTATCAGTAAGAGCTACTAAACACCAAGAAGGTGAGAAGTGATTGAAATATATGGTATCAAAGATAAAACAACTGGGTAAAGACCAGAACTTCTCGCTTTCCCTAGGAATGTTTTTCACAGTACAGAACAAATTTGGTTTGTGAATTTCCAAGGTTGCATGATTACAAAAACTAACTTTGTAATCTGAGTTCTAGTCACTTTAAGAGTAAGACAAATCACTTTTTAAAATTTTTTTTCAATTACAGTTTACATTCAAATCTTATTACTTTATTTCTTAAACACTGCTTACTCAACAGTCATATAAAAATAATAGTCTTCACCTCAAGGGCTTGCTGAGAGGAATATGAAGATAATACAAAC